TTTTTTTTTTTTTTTTTTTTTTTTTTTTTTTTTTCTAACCTGTGATCTTTGATGCTTTTCAAGTGAGACAGGTTTAGAAAGAGCCGATGCTGCTGCTGGCAGCAAGAGAGTCTCTGAATTCTGTGGGGGCACTGGATATCGGTGTTGCCACAACATGGCAGCTGCTGGCTCACCGGCACATCCAGCTTTGATGATAAAGGCTGGTGTCAAACTCCCACTGAGCTGGTATGAGGCTGTCTCTTGTTGTTCTTCCCGTGCCTCATCGCTGTGCATTTGCTCCCTGTTTTTCCCATCAAGGCCTCTCTGTGAAGCAGACCTTGGAAAATGTTGATTGAAACTTGGAAGGCTTCTGTGCGATACGCTGCATGTGTGGTTTCATTTCAGTCGACTTGACCGTGGGACCTTGAAGACGGGGTAATCGTATCTTAACGGATTTCCACGTGTAGACAAGGTTGCGGCGCGGTTTGGCACAGGCGGGACGCCAAACAGACTCCTGTTGGCGCTCTCAACTTGTCTGTCTTCCATGGAAATAGGGCTTTCATTCATAACTCGGACGGAGTGCTCTCAGCATTACACTGTTGTCATTTATCTCGGTCGCTTTGCATTTATGTGTAACCGTCCACACACAAACGAGTATTCATCATTTGCGTCAATAAAATATGTTCTAAAAGTTTGTTTATTTATTTTTTATCCCTCATGGAGCAATGCGTTTTAAGTGGAACTAAAGGCAAGTCTGTGAGAGCTACTGGTGGCGGGTGGTCAGTCAGACTTTGGTCAGCAGGAATCCCAAGAATTGGGATGCTAAACAGATGGACACTAAGAATATGAAAGTGGTATCGTAAGGGAGTCTTTTTAGTATTCAAAGCTGGTGCCTGCCAAATATGGGACTTCAATTCAGATTGCAGTGTCTATGCATCAAACATTTTTGCATCAACAAGTAGCTAAATATGTAGATATGTCAAATTTGCTATTTGTGCTTGGCTCAAACAATCAGCCTGACATATTTAAAGCTTTATCCGCAATCATAACTACACAACTGACTTCCTTTTTGGAGTTTGTGCCAGATTTACAAATGCAGATAACATTTAGTACAAATTATAACTATGATGCAAAAATAAATATTTTTCTTTCTTGTCACATATCGCGCTTTTGCCATTTCCCCACAAATGGCCAAATTGACTGCATCAGAATTTTCAGCCATGACCACTTTTTTGTAGACTCCATGGAGCCCATTACAGGCTGCCAAAGTTAAAGATTTCATTGTTAATACAGCGGGAGCTATTGTGTTATTTGTGCAATAGCCTTGTCTCAGTGAGAACGAGGGGACGAGCACACCTATTTTGAAACAAAATGAATGGATAAGAACTTGTTTTTAGAACTTCTTTCTCTCTGTTCCTGTCGCCAGACGATTACAGCTACCTGCCTGATGCGTTACCTCCTCTTCCTGAAGTCCCGGACTCCGGCTCAGTCCTGAGCTCCGTTGACGTCCCAGCGCGCTGTCTCCGCAGCCGGGCCTTCCACCGCACGTCCTCCCGCTACTGCTCGGCCATCAGCATGGACTCGTCCCCGGACGCCGCCGAAAGGCCCATCAGCTACAGCTCCACCTCCTCTTCCGCCTCCTCCCGGGACAGCCACTGCTCGCTGGGCAGCCGCTCCACTCTGGTCGCTTCCCCCCACTGCAACGCCGTCGCCTCAGACCGCGACTCCGGGGCCATTCGGCTGGAGCTGGTTCCAGCCAGGCAGCTGGGATGCGGGGAGGGAGACGGCAGAAGCGTCGGCGAGGGCAGGCAGGGCGGCAGGCAGGCGGCCACAGAACATTCCGAGCCCGAGCTGAGCCCGGACGGACCAGAGAGGACCAGCCAGGTCCAGGGACCCAGGACATACGTGGACCGGGTGGTGCAGGAGATACTGGACACCGAGAGAACCTACGTTCAGGATCTGCGCAGCATTGTAGAGGTAAGAAACAAAGATCTGAAGCTTAACTGAGCACATGTGTCGGGAGCGGATGTGTCAGCGGGGACCTCAGAGACACATTTGCACATTTGGCAGAACATCAGACACATCGTGAGGAGCAGAAGAAATGCATCCCTGTGAACTTCATGTGCAAAGATGTACATTCTAAAGTACAAATAAGCTTTTTTTTAAATGCACCTTTTGGCTGAAACAGCTCATTATAACTGATGTAAGCATCTTGATGTCAACACAAGGCCTTCACTTTTTATGTGATCGAATCATTGCAACTTTCTCCTCAACCATTGATGGCGCTGTGTAAAAAAAGGCAGCAATAATTGAAGTTATGTGCAGGTTTTTGTTTTTTAACCAGGTTTTCTTCAGAATATATAATCTTTCCCAATTCCAGAAAAGTTGCGCAGTATTTCTGTACCATTGGACAACTCTGATGGTCCAGCAATGATAAAATATGGAAGTGCTGATGAGAGACAATCTTCCCGTGCTTGTTACCTATTTATACACACCGGCATGGTCATTTGGTCAGTGCAATGCTGTATGGTAAAAAGTATAGGTATAGTATAGTATTGTAATCACCAAATGACACACATCCTTTGGGTTTTGTGTGTATGTGTTTTTTCCTCTCAAAAGTGACGTGAACTGCTTGTTGCCCACTGGGAACCTTTAACACAATAAGTCCAACTGGAATTGCAGGCGAGGTTTGGCCGAGATACTCGACACCCGTGCCTTTGTGTTGCGTGCACGGGCACACACACATGCTGTATACATATACACTGATGTTGGTTTTGTGATGCTGGCTTTGAACTGCCTACGGTCAGTGTTTGAGTGGCTCAGTGAAGGCCTGGGTGTAGTGGTTTGCATCAAAGCGTCCTCGCTTCTCTTTTTTTTTCTCCCTCCTCTTAGTTTCTTTTTTGTTTTCTCTGTGAAACTTATCAATTTGTCGGGTTGTGCCAAATTTAAATGGACACTTCCTGTTTGCTCTGCTTTGCATTAGCGTGCACTGTTGAAGCATTGCCTTCATTTTACTACATATTCTCTCTTACTCATACTTTTTACTTGGTTTTTTTGGCTGAAACATACGGTGGCCCTGAGGTGCAAAACACTACGACATTAACGAAAACACTACAACATTAACAAAGCACAAATACAAATTCAAAAACAC